GATACACTTATTCTAGCGATTTTGCAATTTGTTTATCCCGTCCACACTCGCCGCAGATTCCCAGCGGATCGAGAGGCTAGCAAAATACCATCATATACATGTGGCTGCTTTTCAAGTATTAATCGGAATTTTTTTGTTTGAACTGAGTATTGCCCTCCGAACAGAACCTAGCAAATAGAAAAATTATCAGATTCATAGGAATATCAGATGACTTTTCTAGCGTACCTTTTTTCAGATCTTTTCAGAATACTGAGTAGGCTTAAAGCCTAAAATTTCAAGTTTTTATTAAAGAAAGCTGAACTGTCTTATTTGTGGGCGCTGTGAAGCTGGAGGACATATATTCACACCCCAATATTGGATAATTCCAATGCTGCGAGAAATACATGCAATCAATGTGTTTTTATCTCCTTTTAAATGAATAATATGAGTACCAGGTATAAAACAATTAATAAATTATTATATCTTTATAATCGGTATTCGTTCGGCTGCCTCAATTACATTAAATTTGTCTTAATATGTGCACTTTTCTAGCCGGCTTGCGCTTGTTACCTTCCATTTTTAATTTTTGTTTGTGTGTGTACGTGTGCTTTTTATCTCTTTACAAATTAAAGAGATGAGTACCGGGTATAAGATTAATAACTAATAATATCCTAATAATCTTTATTCATTCGACTGCCTTAATTAAATTTAGTTTGCCTTCATTATAACACTTTTGAGTACTGAGTACTGGTCTGCTAAAAGCCTGCTGCTAAAGCCTAATACTCAGATCCAAAAACTGTTGCCTAGCAAACAAATGTCATATATTCTTCCAGCGGTCAGTTGTGTGACCAGAGATGTGCACTGCATTCCGAACGGTTACACTGCTTAGACAGCTGCTTTGTTTTGTTCAAAGTTAATAAAATTCATTTCTTCGGATGGGGTCGCTCTTCCCCAGGCATATCCTGGGCTTCCCAATATTTTATTGGCAAGGTAATGTGTCTGACTACACTACCCAACACGATTTTTCCTCAAGGAACAAAACCAACTTTTTCTTAAAGATTTGGGACTTAGAAATGGTTTGATGATATTTTTTTTTTCTATGGCAGAACTTTTTTTTTAAGAATTTTATAAATCTGGTATTTTTTTTTAAGCTTTTTTCCGAGGTAGCGCTTGTTTTTTCATATAACTGTAATATCTTACGTCTGGTTGTAAAGAACTTTGCTATTTTGAAAAGATAATTTAAACAGCTAGAAGTTAAGCCCAAACACTTTGTGATTACAGCTTACCGTCTGGGAAATATAAAGCATTGAAATGCAAAAATGATGATTTTTGTGCGGTATTTTTTACGAAATTTTGACTTTAAAAACTCAGGATAAGTCGAAAAAAAATTATATCCTGTGTCCTTTTTTTTTTTGTATAGATGCATTAATTTGGCGTCGTTTAAGGTATCGCTCATTAAAATCTATGGAGAGACTTTGGAGCTAAAATTCCATTTTTAATTTTTGTTTGTGTGTGTACGTGTGCTTTTTATCTTTTTATCATTTTTGAATTTCAATGCTTTATATTTCCCAGACAGTAAGCTGTAATCACAAAGTGCTTGGGCTTAAATTCTAGCTGCTTAAATTATCTTTTCAAAATAGCAAAGTTCTTTACAACCAGACGTAAGATACTAGAGTTATGTGACAAAAACAAGCGCTACCTCTGAAAAAAGCTTAAAAAAAATACCAGACTTAAAAAATTCTTCAAAAAAAAGTTCTGCCATAGAAAAAAAACCCATAGTTCTTTAAAAAATTTTAAATCCCCATATCTATCAGAAAAAGTCGGTTTGGATTCTTGAGGAAAAAAAAGTTCGATTTTGTCGAGTAGTGCTATCAGCAGCAGCAGATGGCGAAGCCTCCCGGGCCGACCACCGTGAAGACAAAATGTTTTGAAAACAATATTTGTTCTATATTTATGAAAATTAATAAAAATACTAAATTATAATATCCATATAATTGTCATTCATATAATAATAGATTAGATCTTAAGTCTAGTACTCAGATCAGCTACATTTCCATCTCCAGCGGAAAATAAAATTATTCTATAAGCACAGTACTCAGATAAGCTAAATTTTTTGTCGAAAAAAAGTGACATATGGGCATATCCGCGGTTCGCGAACGTACTTTCGCACGCTTTAAATGCACAAAAAAACTCTGAAAATTGGAATAAAATATTCCAAAGCGATAAATTTACTTTTAAAGAGAATAAATGTAGCTTTTATTTTTATCACCTCACGTTTTCCTTAAAAACAACTCATTACTCCATTTTATGTGTGTAATAACATTTCTAACAAGAATAGAAAATTTGCATTCTCTCAGCTGCTTTTTCGGGAAATTCTTTTAACTTCTGTGGATCGCTTTTAATTTTATTGATATATCGGTGACGTTTTTCAGTTGCTTTAGCCATCGGCGAATATTTATTTGATTGTTAAACAATTAAAAGTAAAATAATAAAAAATAACATTGCCTACGGTCGAAAACGTACGCTACTTTGAAAATCATAATAAAAAGTTTGGTTAATAGTACCCACAAATTTTTTTTTAATTTAAATTTGTTACACCAAACTTGCGTAACACATGTAGTTTCAGCCGCCTGATTGCATTTAATACGAAGCAATTATAATAATATGAGGTTTTCGGTAGCAAGCGTACGATTAGAACATAGAAAAGAAGCAAAATAAAAATTTACCGTTAATTGAACTTTGTATCGGTCTCTTTGCATTTTTTTTCTTAATCGATTACACTCCCAACCAAAATTTAAATTTTTTTTGGCTGCCTGTACCAAAATGACTTTTTCTGATAGATTTCGGGACTTACAAATTTTTTTAGTACTTTTTTTTATGGTGTAATTTTTTTTAAAGAATTTTTAAAATCTGGTATATTTTTCATGGTTTTTTTCAGAGGTATGGCTTCTATTTTTCATATAACTTAAGTATCTTATATCTGGTTGCATAGAACTTTGCAGTTCTAAAAAGCTGGCAATTGCACCTATAAATCGGACCCAGACACTTTCTGCGGCTTAACGCCTGGAAGATATTAAGTTTTCAAATTCAAATTTCATAATTTGTTGCGGTATTTTTTTTTCGAATTTTCGACTTTAAAAACTCGGCAAAAGTCGAAAGAAAGCAGAATTTTTTTTATTTTTTTTTTATGTTATTTTCAGAGCTAGTGCATATTTTTTCACTTAACTTAAGTATCTTACATCAGGTTATAATGAATTTTACCATTCTGAAAGGCTTAAGTGAAACTATAAATTAGATTTAAACACTTTGTGGTTTCAGCTTACCTTCTGGGAAATATCAGGCTTTCAAATGCAGATATTATGACTTGTGCGGTATTTTTTTAAATTTGATTTTAAAATCTCAGGAAAAGTCGAACAAAAATTATATCCTGTGTCCTTATATTTTTTGTGTATATATGCATTAATTAGCTTCGTTTAAAGTATTGTTAAAATACTCCTTGGGAATGAAAACATTTTTTGTTTAATATATTTTTATATTTTATTCAATGTAGTCCACTTTTAGGACGATACACTTATTCTAGCGATTTTGCAATTTGTTTATCCCGTCCACACTCGCAGATTCCCAGCGGATCGAGAGGCTAGCAAAATACCATCATATACCAGTGGCTGCTTTTCTAGTATTAATCGGAATTTTTTTGTTTGAACTGAGTATTGCCCTCCGAACAGAACCTAGCAAATAGGTTGTGCTCGGAAAAATGATCAGATTCATATGAATATCAGATGACTTTTCTAGCGTACCTTTTTTCAGATCTTTTCAGAATACTGAGTAGGCTTAAAGCCTAAAATTTCAAGTTTTTATTAAAGAAAGCTGAACTGTCTTATTTGTGGGCGCTGTGGAGCTGGAGGACATATGTATATCCACACCCCAATATTGGATAATTCCAATTCTGCGGAATCATGCAATCAATTGCGAGAAATACATGCAATCAATGTGTTTTTATCTCCTTTTAAATGAATAATATGAGTACCAGGTATAAAACAATTAATAAATTGTTATATCTTTATAATTGGTATTCGTTCGGCTGCCTCAATTACATTAAATTTGTCTTAATATGTGCACTTTTCTAGCCGGCTTGCGCTTGTTACCTTCCATTTTTAATTTTTGTTTGTGTGTGTACGTGTGCTTTTTATCTCTTTACAAATTAAAGAGATGAGTACCGGGTATAAGATTAATAACTAATAATATCCTAATAACCTTTATTCAATCGACTGCCTTAATTAAATTTAGTTTGTCTTCATTATAGCACTTTTGAGTACTGAGTACTGGTCTGCTAAAAGCCTGCTGCTAAAGCCTAGTACTCAGATCCAAAAACTGTTGGCTAGCAAACAAATGTTATATTCTTCCAGCGGTCAGTTGTGTGACCAGAGATGTGCACTGCATTCCGAACGGTTACACTGCTTAGATAGCTGCTTTGTTTTGTTCAAAGTTAATAAAATTCATTTCTTCGGCTGGGGTCGCTCTTCCCCAGGCATATCTGGGCTTCCCAATATTTTATTGGCAAGGTAATGTGTCTGACTATCAGCAGCAGCAGATGCCGAAGCCTCCCGGGCCAACCACCGCGAAGACAAAATGTTTTCAAAAACAATATTTGTTCTATATTTATGAAAATTAATAAAAATAATAAATTATAATATCCATTCATTTCATTCATATAATACTGCATTAATTAGATTCTATTTATCTTCATTATTTAAATATTTCATTTAGTTTTTTGTTCTCATATTGCATTGTTTCCTTCGTGTTTGCTGGCAAAATATATCAAATTGATATAAATTTCGAGGTGGGTCGAAACATACCAGCAATACAAGCAAATACTTCGGATAATTTTCTAGTATGTACCGACCTTCTTTTTTGTTGATCTGAGTACTGCCTTCCGTACAGAGCCTAGAAAACAGTTTTTGCCGGAAAAAATTTCTTATCGGTTTCATACGAATATCAACCCTGATTCTGTTCGCGAGGTGTTTTTTCGGATCTGAGTACTAGGCTTAAATATCAACCCTGATTCGGTCGAAGGACAATTTAGCGCTTCTGAATACTTAGATTAAGTGACAAAAAAAATAAATGGAATAGACTTTCAAACGTCAAAACAACGCAAGTACTAGCAGGAAAAATCAATACCGTTAGAAGTACATACGTATAGGTAATTTCTGTGTGCTCTTCAATAAATATTCGTTAAAAATGTGAGTACTTTCCACCGCTATTGAACTTTTAAGTCTTTATGCACGTTTAGTTACTATTTCCCATCGAAGCAATTGCAACTGTTTCCTAGTTTACTTAATTGGTCAAACAGCAGTGTAAGCCGCATAATTGAAGTTCATATAAATACTTTTATGTGAGCCCCTGCTCACATATGTATGTACGTACATTGGTATTCCTTGGAAGTCATTCAGAGCTCTATTCCTTGAGCAGCCGTTTTCTGAAATTTTCTTTATATACATATGTACATGAGGCAGACTCATAAATTAGACTCCGATTACGGAGTTTTCGTTTCCGTTAAAAAATATAAATGCATCAAGAAATCTAGAACTTTTTTGGACTGTAATGTTAATGTTGTTTTTTTGGAATGTTTGTTAAACTACAATTTGGTTTGAAGACTTTTGTTTTTATTTTTAGACTGCTACCTTTTTATGCAATGGCCTGAAGCCTATTGCTTGAAAAAAGCCTGAAAACAGCTGCTCAGCCGCTAAAAAACGAGGATTAAACTCTGAAAGGCTTGCAACGAATATTTTTAGCAGCCACTGTACATACACTCCCTTACACTTGAATGTAATACATTAAAAATGTTCATAAAATTAAAGAAGATTAAGGAAAAAATATAATTACAATAACTCAAAAATTTCGTTGTTCAAAACATTGACACTTGAATGCAATTTACTAACAATGTTCACTCGGAGTATCTTTATTACATGAAAAATACATACATGGGTTGTGGTAAGTCCTTTTCAAAGGATAAAAATCGAATTTAAAATATTTCCTGTCAAAACATTTTCATGTCCTCATCCATGCATAAATGCAGTGTTCAGGTTCTTAATTTCATTTCAACTCAGCTAAGTGATTGGTCCAATTAAACACAAATAATTCTACCAATTTTCTCACTTATTTTCATAATGAAATAGACCTACTTCCTTCAAATGTTTTATATTAAATTTTTATCCGATGAAAAGGACTACCCATATACATATTTCTTATAATAAGGACTCTCCGATTAAGTTAAGAAATTTTTTTGAATTATGTTAATTGAATAATTGAAAATAGTTCGAATTCGCCGTTTTATATAGATTGTGCTGTAATTATTAGCGATTTTATGAACAGTTTTAATGTGTCGTGTCAAGTGTTTGTATGTTTGCATACATATATGTACACTAGGTTGAACCAAAAAAACCTGCAAGAGTTTTTGCGAACTAGTTAACTAAATATATCAACTTCAGCTGAACTTCCAGATTTTCACCAATCGTTAATTTTTTAACAGTAACTAAAAAACAAAAATAAAAGTACCTTATTATCAAAATGGACTAGTTTCTAAGTTTCAATATTATTTTAAAAAACCGACGAATTCAATTTTTTAATGTATATTTAACCAAAAAAGTTTATTTTCTTTTTCGTTGTAGCAACCCTCAAAAATTAAACTAAAGATTTAAAAAAAATTGTATAATTTTATTTACTAATAAAGAACAGAAAAGGGGGTGTCCGCTTGAAAAAAAATAAAAAATTTGAAAAGTTATCAAATTGGCCCAGCCTAATGTACAAACATATTTTTATGTAGCTGCCGTGCAAAACATGCAAACAGCATACAATTATTAAAACACCAATTAAATACGGAATAATAAAGGTCTTATCGAAGTGATTAGCATTTTTTAGTCTGTGTTTTCTTAAAAACTATAAATAAAAGAAAAAACAATGGCAACGACCAGTACCATCACGAGCATTTCCTCGGCAACGCCATTAATATCGAAAACAACGGTCAAAACTCCGCCTACAAACCGAAAAACTGAAACGACAATGACCATCGGTGCCTCAAAAACGAAACGCTTTGGGTATATATCTCCGAGTACATCCGTCATATGCAAAGAAGTTTTCGACGATGCCTGTTTACCATCATCAGACGGTAAGTTCTGTTGAACTGTACTTTCTAACCTAATCTACACAGCTACATGTAAGTAACGCCCACGGGCGGAAAGTGTCATAGCGCCCGCAGGGCTTTATGTCACTTTTTTGTGGGCCTTATGACACTTATGACACAATACTAAAGACACAATATCTAAAACCAAAAGTGTTGGCCGAGAATAATTTTTTTTTCGACTTTTCCCGAGTTTTTAAATTCCAAATTTCGTGAAAAAATACCGCAAAAAATTATGATATTTGAGTTTGAAAGCTTTATATCTTCCAGGCGTAAAGCTGCAGATACAAAGTGTCTGGGTCCGATTAATAGCTGCATTTTCCAGCTTTTTAGAACTGCAAAGTTCTATGCAACCAGATATAATATATTTTTTTTTAATTCTTTAAAAAAAATTACACCATAAAAAAAAAGTACTACAATCATTTTAAAATCCCGAAATCTATCAGAAAAAGTAATTTTGGTCCACAGCCTAAAGAAAAAGTTTAATTTTGTTGAGTAGTGTTATTGATGCACTTTATAAGTTTTTAAAAGTTGTCATAACGTCCGTGGGCGTTATGACACAATTGATAGTGTTATAGCGCCCACTCTCAAAGGGTCAAAGCGCCTACGGGCGTTATGAGACTGGGCGTTATGACACGCCCCCACTTTATGGCATGTTATTTTGCAAAATAACGTCTTAGTAAAGTACATATGTACCTCTGTTCAACTTAATAAACGCTTGAAAGCGGTATTATAAATGATTTGTTGAATTTTTCTCCATCCAGTTTAACACAGTAGCTTAAAAAAACTATGGAAAAAGCGACCGCAGCTCAGGAAATCGCTATTTTAGAACAGATGGACTGATTTTTATGGCTTTTGATTTTTTGAGTTTGTCTCCGACCCGAATAGGAGAATCTTTAAAACTTTAAATGTGCCTGTTTATTGGAAAGGTCGAGAAATTGTGTGGAAAGTGGTAGATAAATTTGTGATTTGTGTGTTTTGTGTGAGTATTATTATCATTAATATGTGTATACATATTAATATAGATGCCGCGACGAAGACTATCAAATATTTCCGAATGGAGCCACAATGTAATTATGATACGGAAATGTGCGAATCAATTAACTGATGAAGAGCGAAAATTGAGCCACGTTGGTGCGGCGCGATATATGGCCGTTCTTCGTGCTTCTCAAACACAAGAGCAAAGAGAGGCAGTCCGTGAAACGGCTAGATTAGAAAGAAGAAATCGTAGAGCTAATCGCACTGATCAACAACGTGAGAGTATTTGAACTGAAAGAAGACATACTTCAAGTGTTGATTTGAATCGAGCAGCGTTTATATATGATTGCACAATTGACTACAACTCGCATCCTTTCGTTTGCATTGGTCCAATACAAATTGGTGTTTTTTCCGTTTTTTTTTTGGCATATAGTACATTTTTTTAAATTTAGTTTAATTATTTAAAAATTTTTTGATTTTCAATTTCTACACACCCTAGTTTGATAAAATATAATTTAACTTTAACTTGTGGCGCAACCCTACTCTGTTAGCGCGCTGTTAAAGTCAGCTGATATTGTCCCACAAGTTTTGTACGAAATTGGCGGTTAAAACTTTACAACTTTGATTGCTTGTTCTGGAAAAAGTGTCTACAAAAGTTAAAAAGATTGTTATGGAAAACGATTTTCCACGTATATAAAATGTAGTTTACAAATATTTGTGTCGATGTTATGCTTAAAAAATGTACTTGTGTTTCGTGGATAGCATAGATTTTGCATAGCAAAGATTAGCAAAGAGTTTTAAGTGAGTAGTTATTAAACAAAGTGTGTAGATTAATGAGAAACTAACTCTGCTACTGCGAATTCACACATTTTTCCCAAATCGAATTTTTCTAGTACAATATGTGTAGACATTTGGAGCAACAACAATCGCTCATAAGAGGCAGTACAGCAGCACATATTTCAAACCATCATTCAAAAACATTTTAATGAAAAGCATATTATGTTAAGAAATGAAAAAGTGAAAGCCCTCGTCAATTATGTTAATACACACTTGCCGAAGTGTATTCTAACACCTCGTTGCAAGTCGGCCAGATTGGTTATATGGCAGCTATATGAAATAGTGCTCCAAATCATTTGAAACTTGATTGGTGGTCTTGTGACCGTAAAACTTGTACACAAAGAAAATTTCAACTTAAAAGCTTTAAATTTAGAGTTTATGCCAAAAAAAAAAAGGAAAAAACACTGTGCAATGGAAGTAGTTTGCGTGCATTGTGGGGCATTGAAGTTCGCTGGAGAAAGTGAAATTGCTATTATTGGTTCCGCCACCAGAGACATTGCATTCCTTGCTTTGGGGCGAAACACGACATTTTCTAGCGAACTCTCAAAAGTACAATGGCTGTTTTCAAATGACTTCGTTTGGAGCGGAATTTCCGATAGAACACGGATTTCATCCAACATTCAAGTTAATTTATGTTGAGTAAATGTTCAATTCCTACTATGATACTGACTTTGTTCTCGACTCGCAGATTCAAGGCCAAATTCACCATCAAATTGGATCATTACAACCTCTTGAAAATGCACAACATAAACAACCAGCTGAAACACATGAAAACACATTTAACGCTTCTACAATAGAGGAAATTGCAATCCTGATTGTTTGTGAATACTTGGAAACACGCGATATTGTGCTTACCCGACACAATACTGGGCAACTACAAAAAATATATAAAAACACACCGTTCATATGATTCGTTGCAATATCCGCTGATGTTTTGGCAAGGAGACACTTTTAAATCAAGATTTTTAATCCATTAAATGGTTTGTATGAATAAAATAGAATGCCAACAGTGACTTCGGGGATTTAGTGGTCAAATTCTGTCTATTAACTAAGTATGCGGAAGAAGCAATGACATATGTTTGTCATTATGGTCGGCCAGACCTATAGAAATTGATCAATTACTGCTTCCCGGACAAACATCAAGAGATCGGCACGACATCACCGCACGTATTTTCAAGCAAAAAATCCAGTCGCTGATGAATTTCACTGTTTAGCAACACGTCTTTCTGGTTAAATCGAATTGCAATTCGGTAAAGTCCATTAAATAAATTTGTAAATATGTCACGAAAGGCAGCGATATGGCCGTTTTTGGCATCCAAAGATCCAATACCGACGATGAAATTGCGCGCTATCAAATTGGTCGATATATTAACTGTAATGAGGTAATTTGGCGTATATTCTCTTTCCCTAGTTACGAACGTCATCCCACTGTTGCATGTTTGGCGGTGCATCTGGAGAACGGTTAAAGAGTATATTTCACAGGGTCGAATGCTGCCCAACATTCTGAGACACCTCGCGACAACATTAATCAGTTTTTTTACATCTTGCCATACGTTCGCACGAACGTGGCTTTACTCGGAGATTCCACCTTATTTCCCTTGGAACGCTTCTTCGAAGAAATTTCCGCGTCGGAGGCAAGTCGATGTAAGTCCTGATCATCTGGATATGTGTTCTAATGATGCTCTTGGTCGCATTTACACTGTTCATCCAAAATTAATGAAATTAATGAATGAATTTCCGGTTGTTGCTGGTAAACTTGGCCAACTTCATTTAATTCACTACGAACTGTTAATGTGTGCCCAACATATCTCGCAGCATGTCAAGAGCTTAAATTGCTTGAAAACGTCACTCGCTGATGGATTATTTCTGCATCTCCAAATCAAACCCGCACATTATTGGCTATTATCATTTTAACATGTTTCCCATCTAATCCACGTGACCTGTGGAACAAACTCAAAGATAATATGAAAAAAAGACATTTTAAATCGAATTCGTGTCTGCTTAAAAAATTCTGACCTTGAGTCGAATGAAGAGATGCATAACCAGACTTTGCTCTTAATCGAAGATTTGTGTTACCCTTATGTGCGGCAGTTTGTTAGTCAGGTTAGGAATGCCATTTAATAGAGAATTGGAACGTGAACGTGAATATGAGCGATATGAATTAGAGCAATCAGTTCAAACGAATTTACCTCTGTGTAACCAAATACAGAAGGAAATCTATGATACATTAATTAATGCAATTGTTGAATGCACCAGGCGTGGTGAAACTGGAAAGACATTGCTCATTTCATTGATGTTGGTCATGTTGGCTGTTCGTGCGAGATCAGAAATTGCGGTAGCAGTTGCTTTTTCTGGAATAGTGGCAACGTTCTTAGAAGGATGCCGTACGGCTCATTCAGCGTTCAAATTGCCATTAAATCTTCAAACTACTGAACAACCGACATGTAAAATTGGAAAACACTCTTCAATGGCAAAAGTATTAGTAGCGTAAAAAATCATCACCATCTGGGACGAATGCACAGTGGCGCACAAACGCGCATTGGATGCTCTTGATCGAACCTTAAAAGATCTGCGCAATGACTCGATAATTTTTGGTGGCGCAATGATTTTACTATCAGGATATTTTCGTCAAACGTTTGCCTCAAATCTGTGGTTCTATGTGAAGAAACTTCAATTGGTAGCAAACATGAGAGTTGCATTGTTGAACGACCCATCTGCTGAAGATTTCTCCAAGCAATTGCTGACCATCGGTAATGGCCGTGTTCCTGTCCACCAATCGAGCAGATTGATTTCATTTCCTTCGAATTTTTGTAATTTCGTCTCATCGAAAGACGAGCTTATCAGCAAAGTATTCCCTAACATCATTGCTAACCACAAAAATAACAAATGGTTAAGCGAGCGTGCAATTTTAGCGGCTAAGAATACAGATGTGAATGATTTAAACATTAAAATTCAGAATCAAATCGTTGGTACACTGCAATTATTCAAATCTATTGACTGTGTAACAATCGAAGATGAAGCAACTAATTATCCTACTGAATTTTTAAACTCCTTGGATAGGCCTGGCTTACCACCGCACAATTTAGAACTGAAGGTGGGGTCGGTAGTCATCATGCCTCGAAATCTAAAACCCACCAAAAGTATGCAATGGAACGCGCTTGGTGATAAGAAAACTGATGAGCAATGTGATTTACGTGACGATACTCAAGGGAAAATTTAAAGATGAGTTAGTCCTTATTCCGAGGATTGCAATGATCCAAACGAATATGCCCATTGAGTTTAAACGAATTCCGTTCCCAATTCGTCTTGCTTTCACCATGAGGATTAATAAATTACAAGGCCAATCCTTGACTATTTGTGGCCTAAACTTGGAAAATCCAAGTTTTTCTATTGGCCAGTTTTACGTGGCATGTCTATTTGTTCTTGCACCTGATAAAAAAAAAAAAACAAAAAATGTAGTATATAACAAGGCGATTCAATGAAAAGCTGATAGAAATTCCATTTAAATAATCATTATGAAATTTAAACTTTCTGTGTTTTATTATCTCAGAGTTTATCTGAAGATGTTAAATTGGGGCGAGATGAAAATCGCGGGGTCCGCAAGTAGCACATAAATAAAAACTTGTATGAGCTTGAAAAATATATAAATAAATTTTCTGATGTTTTCAGCTTATATTTATGTGTATGTACAAAAATAGAAAATATCTTCGTATATCCAAATATATTTAATAAATGTATTTCTAATGGCACCCAAATTTTACCTCACAAAAATAATCCTAAACAACAACAAATTGCGAATTTCCATTTGACAGATAAAATATCGATATAAATATTTATACCCGTAATCGAAGAGTTAAGGAGTAAATTAGATTTGTGATAGATTACATTTGTGGATGTGTGTAACACAGAGAAGGAAACGCTCCCGACACCCTAAAGCATATCTATTCTTGATCAGCATCAATAGCCGAGTCGATATAGCCATGTCTGTCTGACTCCCCGTCCGCCTGTCCGTCTTGTTTGTCACCTAGTTATAGGACTATAATAGCTGGAGCAAACAAATTTTGTTTCAAGACTCATGTGATATCACACTGCTACAAGTGTATTTTAAAATTTCGCCTGGCAATACCAGATTGCCGAATTTGAATCAGATCGGATCATTATTATAGCCAGAATGAAGAAATTAATTTTCAGTTGCTAACCCACCTCTTCCAGCGCTGCAGCCGCTACTCATTCTCTCTCTCGCGCACAAACTCGCTGACTCTGTGCGACCTCTGGCGGAGGAGATTTAGAATCTACATTGTTGATGTAGATAACATTTGTATCAAAAAATGTAAACAGATAAAATATTGCAAAATTCCATTTAAATTATAATCTCATATATTCTGACAGAGTACGGGTATAAAAGTAGCGACAAAATAAGCGACTAATAACGTTCCCTCTCGTTTGTTTTGCTATGGTTCAATAAAATAGCCGTTTTACACTGGGCGTATCATTTTATTTTTCCGTTAAATGGAACATTCAAAAATGCTGAAAAATGATGCGTAGAACGATGCGGCTTTGGTGTAAACGCCTCCCAAAAATTTTTTTTGCACTTTCGACAATGATGCGGCAGTGTAAAAAGGATATAATGCGATTTCATACTTAAATATTATATTTCCATTTCCAAACTTAAGGCCTGTCTCCAGCACCGCGGAAAATTGCGGCAAGGAATTTGCTAGTTATTCCGTGAGGGTGTGGAACATAGCTAAAACAGGGTTGATGATTCAGCTGTTTTGTAAACAGAGGCAACGGTAAAATTCTGCTAAAATTAAAAAAGGAAAAAAAATGCACTCTGATGATGAAGTGATTGTGTTGGTGGCGGCATATATTGTTGCAAAACAAAAAAGAATAATTTTCATCTCTCTTTTTGGTTTTGCGGACGTTTTTGCCTACATCTTGCAGCATTCACTTCAGGAAGAATTGTAAAGTATATATTCCTGAGCTGGGTGTCAGCTGTTCTCTCAGCTCACACACGGTCCCGATAGGCAACTATCAATATACATCTGTGGATTCCGTTCGTGTTGCTGGATACACACTCCAGGAAAACGTAAAAGAAATTTTCCTGGAACATATTTTTTTACATGAAGTTTGACAGGAATTTTTAGATTCCGCGGTGCTGGATACTATGCTTTATAAAGACCTAGAAGGCTTTACAGACCTCACCATACACCATGCGACCGAGGACAAACCATGGAACTGCCACTGGAGGCAGGCTTTTCAGCATTAGTTTGATGCATTTTATGCCCACACAACGCTACCCGCCACTGAAGGCCAAATTCTAGCCTAATCTCTTGTTCTAGTTAATAAGTAGTTATAAGTAATTATAAATAAGTAAATAAACCCGCCACTAAAGGCGTTAAGACATTTCCCACAAACACGAGGTGGCAACCCCAGCACTATCGATACAGGATACAGGAACTTATCGAAAAGAAAGAAAAGGAAACAACAAGGCTCGGGGCAGGCAGAGATCAGCAGCCGGGACTTGGCGACGAACCTCCAAGCCACGCGGAAGCACAACTCTGAGCTACGCACCGAATACAACACGCCGACATAACCTCGCTACACCTAACTCGGTCCGACCCACGAGAATAAAGTCACGATTAAAAAAAAACACGCGTACCGGTCTGCAACAACAGGCACACACGCGAACACGCCGCGAACGCAGAACGTTCCCATGGCTACGCGAACCCCGCGCATATCCAACTCAGACCGGTTCATTTCCCTTATATTGGTCACACGTTAGTTGTAAGCAACAACCACATGGTGCAGTCAGGGACCTCATTATCGAATATTACTTGAATAAACACATAATATTCAAATTAACTACTAACGCCCTTTTCTTCCTGATCTTCTTGAGCTTTTGCGACAACGCACTGCTCTGCCTCGCCTTCTCCTTAACCTCAATGAGCCTTTGCGACAACGCACTGCTCTGCCTCGTCTTTTTCTGATCCCACTTAGCCTTTGCGACAACGCACAGCTCTGCATCGCCTCTCCCTGATCCTCTCGAGCATTCGGTCTCTTTGTGACGACGCGCTGCCCCACCTACCCAGTTTCCAAGCCACGCCTGTACCTTACCCTCAAGCGCTCGCTTTAGGTAGCGGGATCAGCCACCGCCCAAAGTACCGATCCACCAAGATCCATCCTGGGACACCGGGCAGACATTGGTGACTCGCACCAAGCACAGCGCGGCTATGCTATGCCTCGCTTGGTCTCGTCCCTTGTCTAAAGTCCCCACAACAACTACAAATTTCTTGTAGCCGACCCTGGACAGACTGAGTTTACCAAAGCCTGAAATAGGTTCCTTACAAGTTTCCAAAGATCAGGAAAACTTGATGTCGTAAGCGCAGTGTTGCATATACGTTAAATATACGTACATACGTTAAATGACTAATTACACTAGTCAACACGACATTTCCGCTGTCGTCCAAAATTACTTTTTCTGACAGATTTCGGGACTTACATTTTTTTAAAGAATTATGGTTTTTTTAAAGCTTACTTTTTTTAAAGAATTTTTTGAAATCCGGTGTTCTTTTCATGTTTTTTTCAGAGGTAGTGCTTCTAGTTTTCAAATAACTTAAGTATCTTATATCTGGTAGCATAGAACTTAGTAGTTCTGAAAAGCTGAAAAATGCAGCTATAATCCAGACAGACGACCCAGACACTTTGTAGCTGCAGCTTAACGTCTGGAAGATAATAAGTTTTGCGGTATTTTTTCCCCGAAATTTTGACTTTAAAAACTCGGGAAAAGGCGAAAAAAAAATATTTCTTGGCATGCATTTTTAGTTGGAGATAGACGAATTAATTAGGCGTCGTTTAAGGTATTGTTTATTAAAATCTGTGCAGAGACGGTTTAGCTAAAATTCGTTAGCCAAAACTAAAACATGAAAAAATAGAAAAAAAATACTTTTTGGAAGGTGGCGGGCCGAACTGCCAATTGGGAACAAAGCAAACGAAGAGGGGTTGAATTTTTGGTACCTGAACGTGTTCCTTTGGCATTAAATGTTTTTGACAGTTAATTATTTTCGTTGTGCTTTTTCGTTTTTTATTTGGTGTAATATTGCTACATGTTTTTAAGCGTATGAGATAATTTTGGTTTTCTACTGCTTGTTACTGTTCTTAAAATAATTTAAGTTTTCTGGCTGTCTTCCTTTGTTATTCGAATCAGATTCCCTTATGAGAGTCCACACATAGTCGCCCACCATATTCTCATTCCAAACACCTTGATACTGTCGTTCCATAGCTTTTAATTGTTGGTGAAATCTCTATTCATGTTCATCACTAACGTCCTCTAGGTTTGTCGGAAAAAAGTCTAAGTGGGAGTGCAGGAAATGGATTTTTAGTGCCATGTCGGCTCCAATTTTTTCATAATTCTCAATTAGGTCTTGAATAATAGTAACGTAATCATCACTATTGCTGTTTCCAAGAAAATTGTTTGTAACCAGTCGGAATGAGTTCCAGACTGCTTTTTCATTCGTAGATAAAATATTTTCAAATCCATCATCTTTTAGTAGTTTTCGAATTTGGGGGCCATCAAATACGCCTTCTTTAACTTTTGCCACCTTACTTATCCAGTGCTTCAACAAAATTTTTCATTAGTCCAGGCTTAATGTGTAATGGTGGTAAAATAACGTCTTTAAACTTAACGAGAGCTGCATTTTGTATGTTGTAATTTTCCAATGTATTTTCTTCCCGTTTTGGCCAGTGTTTTCTTGAGCAATGCTCAGTTCTAGCTCTACTATCCCATAGGCACAGGAAGTAGCAGTATTTTGTGTAACCACCTTGCAGTCCCTTGCAGTGCACACGCGACCTTTTATATTTTCAAACAATTTAGCCATTGCTTGATATGTTTCCTTCATATTAACAGCATGGGCGATGGGTTTTGGTTTCCATTGTGTAACAAAACAGCCTTTAAACTTTCCTAACTGCTATCAATCCCCACCAAATCGTTCAATTGTTCCTGTAAAAGAGATTTGCAATATTTATATTCTTTAGTGGCGGTATTTCCTCTAAAGAATGAGCAGGAAGCGTAAATCCTTGACCAGGTTGTTTCGGGTATCCCATTTCATGGATCTTCCGATTCCAGTTATTTTGAATGAACGAAAGAAGCATTCAAAAAAATTATTAAAAAAAAAGTAATGTTTAGTATTTTTTGTACACTTAGTAGCTTGTGATTTAGAGTAACTTACTGTTTGTAGGAGGGTGGATCTGGTCGGGTCGGCTTCCGTTCCCAAAGACAAGGATTCCCAAAAAAAGTCGGAAGAAGTGGTGCTTCAAGTAGATCGTTGGTTCAGATTTATATATGGTCGCGGAGCGTGTAGACTTTGTCGGGGTGGAAAAAGACACTGACTCTCTCCCGTTTAGGCACAGCTCGGCCTACGGCTAGCGCCCGTAATGGAGAGCCGTGGGTCGAATTCACATGTTAATGGCATTAACAGCGCTGCTGCCCTAAACATCCTCCCCCCCCCCGTTGTCTCGTGGGTTTTGGCGCCCGTATCCAAGATCACCTGGGCCGTCGGGAGGAAATTTATGCTTCGGTGCTGGAACAGGGTGTTGACCGATGGAGCAGGATTCCCCACGACGGGACGGCTTGCGGGGAGCCGGGGGCTGCGACTGGGTTGGGACACCGGAGCTGGAGACGGAACGGGACCCGGAGCAGCCGATTCCGATCTGGTTGGACGCTGGGACGGTCGCATGTTGAGCAACGTGGTTCTTGTGGCACACCTTACACCGGCCCCCACTTTGGCAGTCCTTGCCGGAATGCTGGTGAGCCAGGCAGTTCCGACAATATTTGTTGACCAGTACGGCTCGGAGCGTCTTTTCCACGGTCACCTTGAGGAAACTGCGGCAGTCCCGTAGCGGATGGCTTCCGGAGCAGTCGCGGCAGCGGTAAGCAGGTTTTCCTCAGGAACGTTGGCTCCCTGAGGTGTGGTTGACCACGGGGTTGTGGAGCCTTCAGGATCTGGATGCAAAATTAACTGGTTTGGAAAAGAAAAATGGGAGAAGCATTAGTAACGTGCTAGGAACAGGTGACAGGCACTTCTCTAAGTACTGTTGGAAGAACAAACGAGGGCGTTTTGGAGGCGAAAAGAACTTGGATGGAATAGTAGACAAGGAGAAGCATTATTAAACGGGCTAGGCACAAGACGCCTTCCGTTATTGTTGTACGGGATGAGGGAGATCCCCCGGAAGGAGAACGACTTTTGCGACCGGGCGTTTGAGCACACCGCGGGCAGTAAGAATGTCTACCACCCGAACCCTGTTATCGGCGCCGGGATACACGGACTGTACTCTTCCGAGTCGCCAGTCGTTAGAAGGCAGGTTATCTTCTTTCACGATAACCATATCGCCGATCTGAAGATTTGGCATATCCGTCTGCCACTTGTTGCGCTTGTGGAGTTCCTTGAGGTACTCATCCTTCCACCTCTGGCAGAACTCCTGGTTAAGGGCCTTCAAATGCTGCCACCGATTAATGATCGACTGGAGGTTCTCCTTTATTTCGGGCTCTGCGGTCGCCATTAACGGTCCTCCGATAAGGAAGTGGCCGGGAGTAAGGGCCAGCAACTCCGTCGGATTTTCGGACATGGGTGAGAGCGGCCTGGAATTAAGGCATGCTTCAATCTTCGCGAGAAGCGTCGAAAGTCCCGAGAAAGTACAGTTGCTGCTCCCACGAAAGTTTTCCCATTATCTGAATGGATATGCTGCGGACAACCTCGTCGATCGACGAAACGAACGAAGACGGCTAGAAATTTCTTGGTGGTCAGGTCGGAAGTACGCACACATAACCTTTGGTGATCAGGCAAGCTCTCCCGGTATAATTCTTTATGTCAAAAGGACCGGCGTAATCGATTCTGTTATGGGTAAACGGTCTGGAGAAAGAAGTTCGATCTGTCGGGAAATCACCCATCATTTGGGTCTGTAACTTCTTCTTGTGGACGATACACACTTTGCATGAGTTCACCACACCCTTTATCAGGTTCCGGATTCTCGGAATCCAATACTTGCAACGAATTAGGCGAGTCATCAGTTGATTGCCGCCATGGAGAGTTATTCTGTGCGTGAAGTGAGCCAGCAGGCGAGACAGGCGGCAACTATAGGAAAGGATGATTGGATGACGCTCGTCATACTTCAGATCTTGAGAAGCTGTGACACGGCTACAGGCTCTCATGATCCCATGTCGGTCGAGATAGGGATTCAGGTTCAGAATAGACCTCGCACTTGGCACGGGACGTTTACCACTCAGGCAGTGAAATTCTTGGGGGAAGTCCCGGCGCTGAGTCTCTAGGATAAGAGTTCGTTCCGCTTCGTTTATTTCCGCGCTAGAGAGGGGGTCTCCGCGTGCGGGTGCTAGCAGCACTTCCGGCAGCACTGAATAAAAAGCAGAACATACGCCCGCACTCGAAGAGCCCGCTCAAGCTGGGAGAATCGATCCAGGAAATCTTCAGATGGGCTGGGAACAAAATGGACCTTCACGGCCCTCTGCTTTAGGGTCATAATTGGAGCTTCATCGGCTTGGGTCGGCCATTGATCAGGTGGAGATTGCAACCAATCTGATCCATGCCACCAGAGTTGGTTATCTACCAGTTCCTGTAGAGATACGCCTCTACTGGCTAAGTCAGCAGGGTTATGTTCGGAACGAACATGAGCCCAATCCTTGGTTCCGGTAGTTTGAGCTATTTTGGTCACTCGATTGGCCACAAAGGTAGTCCAGTGGCACACGGGTTTGTTCAACCAAGCCAGTACAATCGTAGAATCGGTCCAGTAATAACATTGAGGACTTTCCGTCGGCATGCTTGGCAGGATAGCCGTCGTCATTTCGGAAAGGAGTACTGGACCGCACAGCGAAACGGTTTTCACGGGAGCAACTCGTGTTTTCGCCGACAACAGATGCACCGTAATATGCTGGTCACACTCGACGCGCACGTAGATCGCGGCACCGTACGCCTTTTCAGATGCATTGCAGAAACCGTGATGTTCGATCTTTACCGATGGCTGGGCGCCAATCCATCTTGGAATCTTGATCTGGGGGAAGAAAGCGTGACTTTGCAGAAAGTCTAACCAGCGTTGATACAACGCACTTGGAAAATGTTTGTCCCATCCCAACTCTTGCAACCAGATCTTTATTTTTTTTAATATTATTACGGGATTTTATTTATCGAATCTTCCCTATTAGAGACCTACGACAAGTATACAAATCGTAGCCTAATATATTTATTTAATTAATTACACTTAATTACTTAGAGTACGTCCCTAGCTAAGTATTATTGCTGGGTGGGGAGGTTTTTTCGCCGTAGTCGTGTATGGCTAGTGTGCCAAGTTAAAGACTGCGCAAGTCTATTAGGATGGGCTTGAAGCTTGGCCTGGTACTTTGCTTTCACTTTGGCAATTTCATCTTTAACTGATCCTACATTTAAGTCTTTATGGATATTTTCATTCCGTATGTACCATGGTGCCCCAGTGATAGTTCTTAGTATCTTCGATTGAGCTCTCTGGACTATTTCTAAATTACTAACGCAAGAATTTCCCCATAGCTCGGAGCCGTATGTCCAGATGGGTTTGAGAACTGCATTGTACAAAAGTACTTTGTACTCCAGTTTTAGTGGTGAACGGGTGTATATTAGCCAATGTAAATTACTAGCTTTAAATTTAAGTAGATTTCTCTTCGCTTCGATGTGTTTACGCCTTATTTAGAGGAAAAAATTCTTTTTATTTTCTGTTTATTGAATATAAAATATCGACTGCTTAAATCTACATAGAATATAAAATCTTAAAGAAACCTATTGTTGGAAGCGCCAGAGTGTTGGCAGCGGCAGAATTCAAGTCAGCGGCATAATTGTTGGAAGCAGCAGAATGGTTGACAAAGGGAAATCAATATCGATTTCGATCGATGGTGGAAGTTCGGAAGAGCTGACTCCTCGAAGACGCATTTTCAGCATTGTCGCGCAGCTGCGTCAAAGAAGGGGTGGGGCGATGATGGTGCTGATTGAAGTGGGTCAAGTGGTTCCTGAGAATTACAACTCTCGGTGCATATTTTGGGCAGGAAATGGAATTAACTTTGTGAGTACTTTGTTATGAAAATCTTGCGCAATGTTATTGCAAGTGGGCAATATACTATTGTGTAAGATTTTGATTGTTGAACTCTGCTGGAGTTAACTTATATCCTTTTCTATGCATAGTTAGAAGGGAAAAAGGTATAATTTGTGCGGGCTGAAGGAAAAAAAGTCAACATTTGACCATAACAGTTGATTATGTATATATCCACACCAAGGCTTAGGTATAAGGAGCAAAAGTAACTGTCCACAACATTTACAGCCAAAATCGACATTAATAGGTAGGGTTGATATCCGAGATATATCCATGCCTAGGACTTGGTAAAACCAAAATTACAAGTCGTTTTTATTTCCTGCAATTCCATTTCGGCAGTTGGACAGGTAAAATGAGTTTTGAGTCGTTTTGGGCAAACGGCTGCAACTTGGCCGAGTATCCATCGATTCTTACAAACGATACCTTAAACGACGCCTAATTAATGCGTCTATCTAAAACTCAGAGCTCGCAAATAACAGTTGACCGTTGTTCCCTTTGCGGTCTGCTCACGAGCATAAGCGAAAAACCCATGCACGCTTGCTCTCTCTCCTAGCATAACCCTTCGTTTGTCTCCAGTTAATGGTTCTCAGTTGAGCTATGCGTGTTCTGCTCGTTCAATAAATCTTTAAATCTTGAATATAATACATACATATATATTATATGTATTATTGTTGCATTTAGACTTTTCTTCATTGGCATCAAATTTAAAAAAATAATGCACTCTTATTTTGATCTCGGCCCATTTTTTCAGACAATCCGAACGCACTTAATTGAGAAAAGCAAGTGTGGCTTGTGACTGACAAGCCTAAATAGACGCCTCACTCGCACATACGCATACAAACGCAAAAGACCTTTATTTTCTTCGCTCGCGACAAAACGGTCTGCGAATGAGCAGAGCAAAAGGGAAGCAGAAAAAAAGGTTTTTGGTTGAGCAAAGTCCGATTTATTCGAGAGCCGATGGGAACGGTACTTCTCTGACTCTTTGCTCAAAGGGTCTGTAAATAACAGTTATTTTCGGACAACAAGGAACGGTCCACTGTTATTTGCGAGCTCTGCTAAAATAACATGCCAGGAAATGTTTTTTTTTCGACTTTTCTGAGTTTTAAAGTCAAAATTTCGGAAAAAAATACCGCAAAAAATGATCAAATATGAATTTGAAAGCTTAATATCTTCCAGGCGTTAAGCTGCAGCTACAAATGTCTTGGTCCTACTTATAGCTGCATTTATCAGCTTTTCAGAACTGCAAAGTTGTTTGCAACCAGATATAAGATACTTAGGTTATGTGAAAATAGAAGCGCTACCTCTGAAAAAAAAAATGAAAAATACCAGATTTTAAAAATTCTGTGATACAAAAAAAACCAAAACATAAAAAAACATAATACTATACAAATTTTTAAATCCCGAAATCTATCAGAAAAAGTAGTTTTTGTCCACAGCGGGAAGAAAAAGTTCAATTTGGTCGAGTAGTGTTATCATGATCAAAATAATTTTAATAAATTTGGGATGCAAATCATCCATTCCAGCATCGTTTGACTTAATTTCAAGGACAGAACTCAGGACATCACACGGAGTTCCACATATAAAACTTAAGCTATTATCACAGTCAGTATTTTTTTTATTTATTGTCCGTCTTAAAATTTTGAACTGCTGGTAATGCTTAGGAGTCTTCTATCTCTTTCATTTATAATATTCGATACCTCGATTGAACCAAGGTTTTTGACTAGCTTAAAAAGTTTTTCTTTTTAAAGTTAAGGAAGAGGGCCCGGTAACTTTTGATCAATTGCATATTATACAAAAATATGTCCACCAATTTAAAACCAGAGGTATTAGCTAATTATAAGTGAAGAACTAAATAGATTCCTACGTTCAGAAATTTGATCAAGAATTTAGTGAAGTAACCTATTTTTTCGAGAAAAAAAATATAGGCACTGTTGTGGACACTGAAAAATCCGCTGAAATCAACGAATTTCTGTGCAGAAACAGATGCCTGCTTTTTTATTTTTTTTAGCTTCGAATCTTTCCTAACTGCTTTATCTTTCCAAGAAACAGTGCAATCTGGTGAAGTAAGCACGTAGTTTTCCATCGGCTTTCTACCACGATTCGACGGTTTCTTTGGTGTAACCGCATGCAGAGGACATATTTCCTCAAAAAGTATAGGAAGCTCGTTGAAGATGCACAGTGGTTTAAATGCTATTATTTTTTACTTCATTACCATTAACAACGATATTCAGGCAGGCTGCGGTTTTCACTTTCACAAAAAAAAAGTGATTTACTTTTCAAAACGAAAAGTCAGGCGCATTCGTAAAATGCAAGACTTTTCCGTTTTCAAAACGGCAACAAATTCCTCTCCGAAAGGAAAAGTTAACGGCTTTTTATCAGGCACCGTAATCATTATAAGATATAATTTAAAAATCACACAATAATAATGATAATAAATAAATAAATAAATTTCTTGTTATCATTTATTTTTTTAATTTTAAATAAAATTTTCTCTTCTTACTATAAATTACGTTATTGCGTACATAAAATGGAGTAATAAGTTGATCTTAAGGGAAATATGAACTGATTTAAGGGAAAACGTAAGGTGAAAAAATTTAAAATACATATGGAAAAATCGTACGTTCGCGACCCGTACGTTCGCGACCGGTACTTAATTTAATATTTTTAAAACCAATGGAGATAATTTTATGTGAATATACTTTATAGAAAGCTACGTTAATCCCCTTTTAAAGTCAATTTATCGTTTTAGAATATTCCGTTCCAATTCGCAGATAATTGCATTTTTCTAGATTAAGTCAAAGTCGACTTCTATTTTTCGTACGTTCGCGACCGCATGTTTTTTTAAATTATTTTAAAAACTAAAACTCGATGAACCCCATCATTTGCACTAAGCATAGAGCTAACAAAATGCTATTGAAACGCAAAAAAAAGTCTTGGAAAGTTTTTGTTTTCTATCTTTGTTGTGCATTAAAAGCGTGCGAACGTACGTTCGCGACCGGCGGATATGCCCATATTCAAAATTGTGTATGGCCAAAAACGAAATTTTAAAATACTTTGAAAAAGATCCATATCCGACCGATAAATAGTTTTTGTATGTAAATTCTTTATAATTCGCGGTCTATCAACGGGTTTTTGTTGTTTTTTTTTTAATATATATAAACCAATACTCAAAATTTGCCAAACTTGGCAAAATTCGAATATATTGACCTTGATGCGCTAGGGTCAAACGTCAACCGATGCTAAAAATTTGTTTTGTCCTGATTTTATGTCCCTTGAGTCAATTTTCTATCACTTTAGTTTCCAAAAATTAACTTTTGGACCACAATGGTAATTTTCTACGATTCCGCGTTTTCGGTATTTTTGCATTTTTTATATCTTCAAAATTGCATGTGCCACGGATTCTCGTACTTTGTAGGGGCGTGCCGAAATTTTAAAATACACTGGTTACAGTGTGATATCACAGAGGTCTGGATACAACATTTAGTTGATCTAGCTCTTATAGTTTTTGAGATCTAGGTGCTCATAAGGAGTGACAGACGTACTATGGACGTACAGACAGACACAGAATACATATGCTTTATGGGGTCGAAAATGCTTTCTTCTGGGTATAGCACCCATCCACATTCACACCAAATTTAACATACCCTATACTTTTTGAGTATCGGATATAAAAAAAAATACCCTGTAAGGGTATGGAAATATTTACATCTGAAGACTCATGCAAACTTCTCTTATAGAGATCTACGATTATGCCACACTGATAGGGATCGAACCTCTTAAGGAACAGCATTTGCTTTATCTTGCTAAGGAAGGTTTAATGGCCGCACTGCCTTCGGATTGGAAAATCTGGTGAGCTTATAGTTGTAATCAGCCATTTTATTACTAACCATGTGTTCTTGTAATTTTCTACAGCTACTCCGAGGAGAAGAACGGTCATTACTATCATAATACGTATACCAAGCAATCGCAGTGGGATCATCCCCTGGATGCTGTGTATCGTGAGTTAGTAGAGAAGACACGTGAAAAGACAGGACCAGCGATTCCTAAAGGAGCCATGGTTATTATTGACAACTCGGATGATGTATCCCAGTTGGATTCTGGTATACGCAGCATGCATTGTGCGGATGATTTCCTCTACGAAATCAGCTCCCCTCTTAACAGCGTTAAAACGCAGGCGTCAATGATTAATTCTGTTTCTACTCACGCGAACAGCTTTGCAGGTGCAAGTGTATTTAGTGGCAGTGTTAATCGATTTTTGGAGTCTCGCACTAGGAATTTTGGTAAAATTTTCCATTCTGTTAAAAAAACTGACCTTGAAGAGGACAATACAAATTCTCCAATTAGTATGAGCATGGATATACCCGTATCTAAACTATCTAACAGAATGCTGGCACTGAGCAGGGGGACTGGGGAAAACTCAGAGTCTGTAGTAGAGCAGCGCAATGGAATGTCTCTGCTCTCACATAAAGGAGGTGCTATGTTTCTAAAGCCTCGTCAACACCTGGAACAAGTAAAAAGTGGTGGAGGTATTCCACTACCTTGTGTAAAGGGTATTCTTCGTGAATCAAGTGTGTTCGATATACATCGTTGCATTGCCCGTGAAGATCCAACGACAGAATTTGAGGATAAAAAAAGCGTGCGTTTTAATTTAGAGGAGATGCAGCGCATGCGAAACTCACCCGAGAATGCGGGTGACTCGCGAAAGTTATGTCAGACTACCGAGTTGTCCATCACCCCGGACGACCAGGAAGTGCAGGCGGGGATGAACGACGATTGTAATGAAAAACTTGTTAATAACATAAATAAAGAGGAAGATGTTTGTAATGTTGAATTGTTCGATGGTGATCTCAATGAAGGCAATAGTAGCTTAAACCTTTTCTCTTGCGGCTTTTCAAAATCCGTACCCAAATCCGAAACTATTGAAATGATAATGGCTTGTTGTACCAATCCACCCATGGACCAAAATTTGGGAAGCTCAGTATCTGTTACGTCCTGTAGGACAATATGTGAATTGAAAGACGGTGCCAAAGCGAAGCATCACAATGAAAACAAAGACCCCGAGTCAGAGACTAGTCTTGTTCGCAGCCTTATTCTAAACAATTCAAAGAAAGACACTCTTAATCTAGCAAGCAACAGTCCGTTTGATTTGGATGAGCTGGGTCGCAAGCACAGCGTTGAGCTAGAGATGTTACAGCGTAAATCAGCTCAAGTATCATCAAAAAATGTGCAAGGTTTTAAAATGGCCAATAAGTTAGGTACTTTTCATAAGCAGATGAATAGTTTTTTGAGTAAAGCTGAGAATATGCAACGGGAGCAAGAGCGAAGGCTTAAGAGTCTAAGACATGAATACGACCTGCGCTTCACATCACACCAGCACCAACTCGAAGAGGCCTTCGAGAGTGAAATAGAAAAATATCGTGGCCAGCTGGAGCTGGAGCTGCAAAGCAAACGTTCTCTAATAGTAAGCGAACATAGGGCTCAAATGACCATATTGCAGAGCAACCATTCTGATATTCTCCATGAGTTAGAGCGTGACCTCCATAGCGAGGAAGAAATTCTTCGCCGTGAGCAAGCAGTCAGGCTATCACAAATGCGTGACAAGCTTGCCTATGAGCTAGAATTGGAAAAGAAACGGTTTCGCGAGAAGGGCGAGGAGAGACTCTACGAGAAAGTTCGTTGTGAAAAACGTCTTCTTGAGGATAAATATCGTTGCCTCAAAGAAAAATATGTAAGACTCAAAACGGACGTTAGGCTGTCCTTAGAACGTCGAAATCGACGACGCGAGGCACTCGCCCTTCAGCAAAATAGCCACAATAATAAGACCAACGTAACCGCTGGCTCAGAAACGGAGCGCTCGATTTCCAACAATCCTATGTGCAATAGTGAAAATCGCTCGGTGACCTACTCGGATAAGGCAGTGATGGGCAGTTTCAAAGAAAAACCACCCAAGCCTCTAAAAACACAGCTTAATATCACCAGCAAATGCACCAGCCTGCGGCAGCTTCAGAATGATACGAACACCTCAATCAGTCAGTCGGACACAACGTTATCAAATAACTATTACAATGGTCGCTATTTACCTGTTTCACAACCAAGCAGCTGCCTAGGTTATGGTACTGTCAAACTCAGCGAAAACGGAAATTCAGACACGGAAGCACCTGCTGCCATTATGTTTCAATGCAATCAAGAGAACAACAACAGAAATCAGCTTAAGGACCATGGGGGTTCCCAGATAATCTTCTCACGTTCTAAGTCAGCATCAACCTCTAAACTTAACTCCGACTATAACTATCAATTGGAACGTCCGTGTAATCCTGTTGAAAATTTACGCAACCAACTGCGAAAGCTTGAGGATTTAGAAGATCAGTTTCCAGATCATGCGGTTGACGCCACTTTTCATCTTCGATACCCATTTACTGATATTTCTAACGACCATCCTACTGTGGGAGTGGGCTCGGAACTGGAATTTTTCAAGCACCGTATACATATGGAACGGGACTCAGTACGTCGATCCAAAGAGTCTTTAAAAAAAGACCGTAGTGATTATAGGTTGCGGCAAGGCGAGATAAAACAGCGTATCAAGAATTCTCCCCTGTGTGCTAAGCAGTGGCTGGACCAGAATATCGAAGAGGAAAAAGAATTAACTGAGATAGAAGTAAAACTGCATCGCACACGCGCTTTGTTAGGTGAGAAGGTTATAAGGCTTAAGCATCTAGAAGAGAGCCTGCTACGCATGTGCGAGCAGGAGAAACGCGGGGCCGATCTCCAACACAAGGATGATGCTGCTACGCTTAGCGATCTTTCGTCGCACTCCAGTTCTGGCTTCAGCAGTACCGATTTTGCCAATGGAGGAGATCTTCACAAGCGGAGAGAGTACTTTCAACAGGAATCAATCGAATGGATTCAGAACCTCGAGATTCTCAACGAGGAGATATGTGAAATTCTTGATATGCTAGGTAAAAAGCAACAAAAACAGCATCATCAGCAATCATTATCGACCATGACCATAAAACTGCCTAACGACCTTAACTGGACACACATGCTTAGCCAGCAGGCTAACGTAACGGCTATAGTCGCTCCGTTTCAAACAAGCAACTCAACATCTAGCCATGGTCTCAGCGAAAGCAGTGGTATGGGGGCGGTACCTCCACCTAAACCAATACCAACACTTTCAGATCGTCTTGAGACTTATAGCTATTTAACAACTGGTCGCATGCACACCTCGATGGGTGGGACGATACTGGCGGCCAATACTATCGCGTCCCAAAATGCACGGGCTCTGAACTATTCGACTAGTTTGGTGGAGCGCACCCGCGACCTTCGCGACTGGCTACGTCAGGCCAAAACCGAACATGAGCTGCTAATCGGCATTGGACTTCAACACGGAATCCCAGAGAAAACAAAAAATTCTGGTCTATGTGAAGCTAATGATGCAAGTGATAATAATGCAATCGGCGCATCTCTCAATAATGCATCCGCATCAGCAAGTCCGCACAACATTTTCTAAACAAAAAACACAGTAATGTTGTATTCTGACCATAATATGCAATTTAGTAAGTAGAAAATAATGTAGTTGTAACAAAATTTGTGCTAGATTATTTTCCTGTTCTTCCCTGTATTTTGTATAAGCCGATCGTTGGGAACTTTGGCAAATAATTAAAGATTTTCCATATAAAAATGTAATCAACCGACTTCCATAACCTTTTTCATTTGATATTTTTTTACATCTTAGCATAGGGTTTTATAATTTCGCTTATGCGTCTTCCACGAAGGCAAGGAAGCAATTTAATTGCAAAGTACTTAAATTTTTAAGTAGTAGCATATAATGCTGATATGAAAAGCCAGTATCGTTTGGTACTTTTACTTATTTTTTAAGTTTGTTCAGAGGTAAGTTAAACAAAAAACTTTAAACGTTCATGACGCTCAAAAAACGCTTTTCTCATTTTCTCAAGTAGAGAGCATAACTCTGTATGTTTAGCATCTGACCGCGGAAGTGTCTCTGACAGTGCTGTCTTTACCAGTTGTTTTTTTCTACCTGTTCCAAAAGACTGGAAAATAAATTTTTGGGATTCCGACCTAGTCATACTCTTTAGAATTTTATTTTTAAAGAATTTAAAAAAATATTTTTTTAATGGTTTTTGTTTTTAGAGGTAACGCTTTTTTTATATAAATGCATTATTTTACATCTGGTTGTAAAGAACTTTGCCATTCTGAAAAGCTGGTTGTTAATGTATGTTTGTTTGTGTGTGATATGGTATGCATACGGTACATAAACCGCTCACAAATGAGGCTCTGAAGACACGGCAATTGCACCAGTGTTTTTCCCCTCTGAAGAGCAATCGCATCGTTGGCAGAAATTGCTGCAGAAGCGGTTATTGTTGACTCAGCTACAATGCTTTGTCGTTTGTTATTATGTCTCCCGTTACATGGGTCGACCTGACTAATTCGATAAGTGTATATTATGTAATATTAATTAATGCATAAATATGCGACTGAACACTGGATAATGCATCTATAAAGAAGACCTGAAAACTTGAGCTTACCGTTTGAGAAATATTAATCTTTCAAATGAAAAAATGTGTTTTTTGCGGTATTTTTTCCAAAATTTTGACTTTAAAAACTCACTAAAAAGTATAAACATATGATATCATGTATACTTATATTTGTTGTGTGCATTAATAAGAGGTTTTATAAGAATCTATCGACGCATTTTCGCAAAAGTATCGTATGTCAAAAAAACCAAATTTTACAGAAGTTTTTTTAGATTACTCAGCTTAGAATCAGAAAAAAACTTTAAAACTCTTTAAAGTTGTATTTTTTCAGCTACAAAAACGAATGTCAACCTAATTTTTGCCAATAATGGTGCCTAGTTAAAAAAAAAAACTAGAATCTTTAAACATACCATATTTTCGAAATAATTCCATTAAAAATATTTAGAATTTTATAACACTACTCGACAAAATTAAATTAGTGCTTCTATTTTTCACATAACTTTAGTATCTTATATCTTTTTGCATTGAACTTTACAAGTCTGAAAAGCTGACAAACGCAGCTATAAATCCGACCCAGACCTTTTGTATCTGCAGCTTAACGCCTGGAAGATATTAAGCTATCAAAATCAAATTTTAGAATTTTTTTGCGGTATTTTTCCCAAAATTTTGACTTTAAAAACTCGGGAAAAGTCGAAAAACATTTTTTGGCATGCATTTGCAAAAATGCAACCCCTTTTTCGTTTGCTTTGTTTCCAATTGGCAGTTGGGCCCGCAACTTTCCAAAAAGTATTTTTTGTCTATTTTTTCACTTTTGAGGTTTGGTTAACGAATTTTAGCTCCACCGTTTATCCATAGATTTTAATGAACAATACTTTAAACGACGCCTCATTAATGCGTCTATCTAAAACCAAAAGTGTTGGCCGAGAATAATTTTTTTTCGACTTCCTGAGTTTTTAAAGTCAAAATTTCGTAAAAAATACCGCACAAAAATCATCATTTTTGCATTTCAATGCTTTATATTTCCCAGACGGTAAGCTGTAATCACAAATTGTTAAGGCTTAACTTCTAGCTGTTTTAATTATCTTTTCAAAATAGCAAAGTTCTTTACAACCAGACGTAAGATACTAGAGTTATGTGAAAAAAACAAGCGCTACCTCTGAAAAAAGCTTTAAAAAAAATACCAGTTTTCAAAAATTCTTTAAAAAAAAGTTCTGCCATAGAAAAAAAAAATATCATCAAGCCATTTCGAAGCCCCAAATATTTAAGAAAAAGTTCGTTTTGTTCCTTGAGGAAAAATCGTGTTGACCATCAGATACTTTTATTTCGCTTAATTTTTTTTGCTGTATCTGATCCATGCATTTTAAGTGTTGTATTTGAGGAGCCCAAATAAGAACATTCCAATTGAGTGCTAGATATAGACTGAACATTTATTATATAAATTTGCCAGATTATAATAATACGAATAATGCGTTAGGTAATTTTAGGAATATCGATACATAACAAATCTCCCCCTTTAAATTAGATGCTGTTAGTAGTATTTTGTTTATGACCTGAAATCATTAGGTGCGAAACGATTAACTTGCTGGCGAGTTCGAGTGCTTTGACGAACTGGTATGCAAGACTGGCGCCGTGAAGGTATCCGTATCGGCTGCTGGATAGGCTCCACTGAGCGTTCGGAGGAACCAGGATCAGGATCCGGATGCAGCAATGGTGGTGGAACTAGAAGTTCATCTTGGCGCTGTGGTTGTTGACAAGAATCTGGTTGTGGGGTTTCGGGTATATACCAAAACTTTGCGGAACTGCCGTTGGAGGTATTTGCCGACAACTTTGGTTTCAGCTGATTAAAATGGCGCTTGACATAGCTATTTGTTGAGCGAACCATGTGCATCATTTTTTCCAATTGGACGATCGATAATGCCTTCAAGCCACTTGTTTCCCCTCGAATAGTTACGAGTGAAGACCCTCTGGCTCGAAACGTACTTTGAGACTTGCTGCTTTGTCTCGACGGGTTTTTCGAAAAGTTGGCTTAGAACTGTGCGAACTGGACGACCGTGAATTAACTCAGCTGAAGTTTTACCTTATGCGTTGGGTGTGAACCTATAGGAAGCGAGATACTTCGCTACTGCTGCTCGAACTGGAAGCCCATCTTGCAGATTCTTTTTGAGAGAGAGTTTGAACGATTGAACAAATAGTTCTGCTAATCCATTGGATGCTTGGTGAAACGGTGCTGTAGTGATGTGCTTGATGCCATGTAGCTTGCAAAAATCTTAGAAGGAGTAAGCCGTAAGCTGCGGCCCGTTGTCGCTGTCCTTCGATTGTGGCAAGCTTCCTCTTTCTTTTCGAATTCTGAATCTGTACCCACTGGCAGTCGTGAAAGGGCATCTGCATTGCCATGTGCAGATGTGGATCGATACTGAATATCGAAATTGTAGGCCATGAGTGTGATAGCCCAGCGTTGTAGCCTGTTTGAAGTCATCAATGGAAGATGCTTGCCTGGGTTGAAAATAGTTACAAGCGGCTTATGATCGGTTATTAATGTGAACTTCCTTACATAAAGATATTGGTGAAAACGTTTTACTCCGAATATTATGGACAGGCCCTCTTTTTCGATTTGGCTGTACCTTACTTGATGCTTGTCAAGTGTTTTTGATGCAAAAAAATGGGTGTCTCTGTTCCATCGCTCTGAAGATGAGAAAGGACTACCCCAATACCAAATGAAGAGGTATCGGTTGCTAGTAAAAGAAGTAGATTTTCATCGAAGTGAGCTAACTGCGTCGCATTAATTATGCGAGACTTCAAAGATGTGAAGGCTTTCTGATGTTGCGGACCAAAACGGTATTGAACGTTTTTTCTGCGAAGCTGGTTCAGAGGCGAAACCCGCTGAGAGCAGTTTGGAATAAAGTTGCAATACTCATTTAGAAGGAACTAGAAGGCGGCTTCAAGAGTTTTACAGCCTCTAAGTCAGAGCTGTCTGGAAGAATCCCCTTTTGGCTGATTCTGCGACCCAAATATTCAATTTCATCTTTGAAAAAGAAGCATTTTTCCATCTTGGATTTGATCTCCTAAAGAATGTTGGGAACTTGGTCGATTCGGTTCAGATGTTCTTCGCTTGTCAGAGCTGAAATGATAATGTCATCTAAATATTGTCCACAACCTTCTATCCCTTTTAAAAGTTTCTCTAGGTATCTTTGGAAGGTCGCAGGTGCGCTGGCAATCCCGTAAGGAAGGGTTTGATACTGGAAAAGTCCCAGAGGTGAGTTTATGACCATGAGTTGCTTCAAAGCCTCATCCAGTTCCATTAGAAGATATGCATCTTTGAAGTCTATTTTGCTGAATTGCTTACCGTGACGAATGACGTGAAAAAGAGCTTCTTTTGTTGGCAATGGATACTGCGCTATATCGATTTGTGCGTTGACTTCTTGCTTAAAGTTACCACAAATCCGAATCGCTCCACTTGTGTTAAGTTGAGTAGACGTCCAGAGACCCAGAAGCCGATAGCAAAGTGAGGTTTTTGCAGCTCAACCTCAACCATTGCGAAGCTGCGCCGAATCTACTCTGCCAGCTAGTCAGAGATACTACAGCGGATGTGGCAGTTCTTTCCGAACCCTACCGCAGAACCAGCAACACCAATTACATTCTTGACAGCACGAAAACTGCAGCAAAATGGGTATGTGAGCGTACCACCCCCAAGCTGAGTGTGTTCGCAGGGGAAACGGCTACGTAAGAGCCAATGTTGGCCAGTTTTGGATTTACAGCTGCTACCTGGCACCACGCCTATCTATCCAGGAATTCGGTGCCATTATCGATGAGATAGCAGACGACGCTAGGGGACGGCCAAACATCATCATGGCCGGCGACTTTAACTCTTGGTCAGAGGAATGGGGATCGAGGTCCACCAACGCTAGAGGTCGCACCCTCATGGAAGCCTTTGCCACTCTAGATCTGCAACTACTCAACACCGGATCAGAGCATACCTTCTCCCGAGCAGGGTTGTGGTCAATCATCGACCTTACCTTCTGCAGCACCGCTCTCTTTGGGAGAACAGCGTGGGGACTCAGCAGCGCATACACGGCTAGTGACCACAACGCTATCATTTGAGCATCCAGGCCCACACACAAGGGACAGCTCTCCAACCAAGGATGACCTTCAATGCCAGAACCCTCAGGCCGGATGCGAATGCATTCGTGCTAGAAGGCGCCAAACTCGCGCTTCCGATGACCCTTCGTAGGTAGTGGTAGTGGTGGCCAAACACATCGGAGAAGTGGAGGCCAGGTGCAACCAATCGGTGGCCGTGATCCAAGAGTGGCTGACAACAGTGGGCCTAAGGCTGGCTGAACACAAGACGGAAGCGGTGTTGATTTCCAGCCGCAAGAAAGTGGAGGTTGCGACGGTGCGAGTTGGCTCCGTCGAGATCACATCCTCGCGAGCAATCCTTGGGGTACTGCTGGACACTCGTCTCTCCTTCCGCGAGCACCTCGAAGCAGCCAGCAAGAATGCAGGGCCTTGTCATGATGCTTAACACGAGAGGACCCAAACAAGGCCGCAGACTCCTGCTCCAGTCAGTCCGAAAGGCGGTAACCCAACTCCTAAGAGGGCACGGCTGCTTTAGAAGCTATCTCCATAGATTCGGGCACGACGACGAGGAGACCGCGGAGCATATGCTCTTCACCTGCCCAAGGTTCTCAGCAGCGGTTGAAAATAGGTGGAGACTCGCTTAGTGCGGGTGCCCTCACGAGCGAGATGCTACGCAGCGAGAATTACTGGTCCCGAGTATCCGAGTACGCATCAGAGGTCATGCGGAAGCTGAGAGAGCTGGAGCGGCTGCGCAACGGCGTAGAAGGAAGGGTCTAAATCGACCCGCCAGTCCCCTGCGAAGCAAAACTTCGCGGCAGTCCCGCAGGCTCCTGGCACAACCCACCTTTTTTTCCTCCTTAGTTATAATCATTCTCTATCTATCTATCTATCCATTGATATTGTTATCCCACCCAATAATAAATGATAAAAAAAAAAAAAAAAAACTTGTGTCAATCCGTTTGCTTCTGCTTTAAATTGGTCCATTTGCGCGAACGGAATTTGACGGCTTTAAAAAACTTTGGTAATGCCGAAGATCTTAAAAATATACTGGCTTTAAAATCTTTAATGATACATGGCAGGCTCGAAC